TAATATTTTAAACCGTTTGATTTTTGTATTAAAGTTTTTTTAATTGATTGATGATTGATTCAATCAACTAATTTGTTGATTGTATTAACTTGATTCTTTAGATATTGAAAATTAAATAAATAACATTATGTTAATTTAAGCGTACAGAAACGTTGCTGTTGTTCCAGCAAAGATCTTATTTTAACTTTACCGAGTGCCTAGTAGGTAATTCGCAGATTACCTAGATAATCTGCAGATTACCTAGGTAATTTGAGAAATGGAATAATTTTCGCAGCTTTAACGGATCACCCTAGTTAATCTGCAGATTAGCTAGGTAAAGTACACATTAACGGATTTCGAGCTTTAGCGGTAACATATACATATATTAATATTCTGGAAATAAAATTTATACATCATTTTATTACTAATTTCTTAATCTACTTATTATTTTAATTGTGAGATGTTTAAATCAGGCCTGGAAAATCAAAATCATTCTGCAAGCCACATTTACTGAGAAGGAAAAAAAGCATCTGAATCTACCAGATTGTGCATGCACTCTTTATATATTGTTCCTTGTCAGAAACTCTGTACTGGCAACCTTAAGATGCTTCACAACAAAGTGGGTTGCTACAAGTAACGTTATTCTTGTGGCAATAATTACATTTAAAACTTTGTACATGTGGTTGTGTGTTCAAATCTAGACAGTTTATTGAAACTTTTGATGGTGATGTACCTATTTTAATCAAGTAAAACAAACATTACCTTTCTGAATATTAATTAAATATAATGCAATTAAGAATCATCAGCAGGCTTCAAGAAAGAACAGATAGGCCACTAGTGGGCCAGGTCTGATTTAAATAATTATTTTGATAAAATAAGAAAAAATTTCTAAAATTAAAATAACTTACTTCTAACATCACTTTTTGATCTCTGCATAAATAATGGTCCTGCAGTTGGATGTGTGGAGGGATCAGTTTCAATATCTTCAAACATAACAAATAAAAAATATTAGTTTTAAATAATTTCATTTTATTTAAATTTAAAGTATTATTTATTATATACTATATTTTACCCTCTGGTTCTCTTTCACTAATATGCTGTAAATTTGAAATGCTCTCATCTTGATGTACTTCTGCTTCTGGTAAGTAACTGTCTTCTGCTCTTCTATCTACTCGAGGACTACCACAAGTACAGCAAGAAAGTTTATTTCCCATGCTGTATGTAGTGAATTCCTCAAGTTTTCAGTCTACTATGACTAGGTTAGTAGCATTTCACTAGAATATTTTAAATTTCGTCAAGCTATAAGCTTGCAACAAATCTTCAATGTTATATTCCATTGAAAAAACTGGGGGGAAAAAAATGTCATTTTAAATTTAAAGAACATTAAAATCCATGAGAGTTCAAATTATCTTAGATATCTTATGTTAAAATTACCATTAAATTAATAATAATTATTATAAAACTAATTGGTTTTCAGAGTAAAGAACAAATACTTTGAATGTAAATAATTTGTATATACAGTTGACCCCCCCATAACACTGTTGATAATTCTGTTTTATATGAATTCCATGTTGTATGAGTCACTTAGATTTTACAAATATGTGTGTCAGGCTGTGAATGGCTCACATATTTGTAAAATCTAAGTTACTCGTACAACATGGAATTCATATAAAACAGAATAATCAACAGTGTTCTGGAGGGGGTCAACTTGTACACATTAAAAACATCTCTTCAAAGAAATTGTTGGAAAAATAAATTTATTATGATATTACATATAATTATTAGAAAATAATTAAGAGCCTTAAAGATAGAAATGACAAGATTTGCAGAATTAATACATAAAAATTTTCTACATATAATAACTACTTATAAAAACCATAGGCATGTGTGGGAAAAAATACAGAAGGAAAAATCTCAGATGCAATTTTTGACTAAAAAAATAATAATTAAAAAAAAAAATACTCTTTTAAACTGAAAATATCTATTATACCTTAATTTTATTTTCAATGACAAATAATCATCAAATATTATAAAATCTATGATAAAATGGTTATTATTTGTATGTCAAAACTAGAACAATGCAAATAAAATAATTTATACTTTTAAAAAGGTATTAATGAGTTACACACACACTTCTTTAAATATATATCTGAAATGAATATGCATTTTTATTAAAAAAAACTATTTAATAAAATATTAGGACAATAGATTAAAGAAACATCAGGAAAAGATTCAGTGTTACAAATCATTCTGTTAAAATGAGAATACATAATAAAAAATAAATAATTAATAACCTATTGTTCAAATTATGAAGGTTAACATTATACCAGTAGATGTCTAAAATTTTTCAAATAATTCATTCCTACAATTTTTCATTACATGTATATTTGTTCAAAATAAACAACATACAACATTAATATACAGTACTAAGTATAATTACATCAGATCAGGGGTTCTCAATTATTTTCTTCCATGGACCCTTTTCCAGTCAGGTAAAGGTAACAAACCCCTTCTTGAAATAATGTTTTTAATGCATAAAATAAAATTACAAAAGAAACCAGTTTTATAGAAATGCATTTATTAAAATAAAAAACTCATGATATAATAATATACAGTATGTGCTTTTTTCTTAATAAAATAATTAACAATACAATATATTTAAAATATAGGAAAGTTAAAACTGACTTTTACCCTTTCAAGTCCATGGACCTGTGACAATTTTCTACAGACCTGTAGTTAAGAACTCCTGCATTAGATATCATATCATACACTAATTTATAGATTTACTATAAAATTTCTTTTAATTTTTAGAATTCTCACAAAAATTGCCATCAATAATTTGATATTTCTCATGAGGAAACATTGTACTATACAACAGGTTTCAATAAATTAACTTGTAAAAAAAATTACAATTCTGACCACCATGCATAATTACAATGCAAAACCTTCCCAAGAATTTAGAAGTTATTTATATCACATTTTTGTCAATCATGAAATAGTGAAGTCAGCTTGAGAGAGAGCACCATCAGAATCATCATGTCATGCTCCATTATCTGAAGTAATAAGATCATATGAGTAGTAGTTAATAATATTCAATTATCTCCACTTTTTCATGTTTTGAGAGCTTTCTGTAATGTATAACACATTTGAAAATATTAAAATTCATTATCACATATTTTTACTGTAATTACATATTAGTTTCCATTTTTATATTATCAATTTTCTTCTTCTATTCATAATCAGCAAAAACAATATCTTTACTAATCACATTACTTTCACTTCTTTCCAGAAGTACTATACAATTATAGGTCTAACTGAAAAGATATGAACATCTTTACACCAAAATTTTGAAATGCTTTCTAATGAGATGTACAGAATAAAAACATACAAGTACAGTACCACTTTAAAGTAAGGTCATGTGACCTCTGAAATCTGATCAATAATCATTCCTTGACCCCTTAAAATAAGGATGCATATGCCATCTGTACTGTTTGTTCTTATATACAAGTTATCAAGACAAGAAGAGTTGGGTATTTTTCCCAGGCCCTGGGAAACTTAGGGAACTGGTTCCTATCCCTATAAAATTAGTACTTCTAAAATTACTAATTTTTTACTAGAAAAATCTTTGAAACTGCTTTTTATTAATAAAGAAACATTCTATGCATTTCATTTGTTCACAAAAAAAGGGGACAAAATGGCAAAAGGAGCCTGCTCTATCCCCAGGCCCCATACAAACTCTCAATGACCTTGCATATATATTTTATAATACCTGTTTAATATCTAATTGCTTCTCATTTGTGTGTCCAATAAAACCTGTTCATTATGATTCTGTAAGAAATCTCTTGGCTGTCCATTTTATTAGAAAACTGACCAATGAAAAATTTTACCAATCTCCACATAGCACAGATTATACCATAGTGAAGAGTGTCATGTCACCATGTTCCCTACAGAATGGTATCATAAAATTAAAGATAGACCCATATAAATCTTCCTTAGAATAGTGTTGGATTATGCAGATTGTTGCTCTAAACATGCCATTGACGTGATGTTCATTTAAACAGACTGTCTACTATCCATTACTCTGTTAATTAGAGTCCTGCTAAATAGAAGAGAAAACAAAATAACATGAGTGAGTGCTCTCTTAAACAAACTACACTCTTATCCAATGTTTTGTTAAGTGACCAACTGTATTGATTCATAAATTTTATGATAAATGTGCAATTGTTAAAATGCATTTTAAATATGAAATCATGACATAAGATATGAAGTGATACCTGAACATTATAATTAATAAATTTTGTTTTATTTTTACAAAATACTTAAATTTTGTTCTTATTACAGTTAAATTTACAGCTATTAAAAACTGCAAAAAATAATTGAAAACAGCAACTAAATATCAATATTTTAAAAATTATTGTTCGCAATATTCAGTTCTAAGAATATAATCAGAGACTGAGCCAAAAATTTCATCTAGATTTGCAATTAGGATTGTATAACGAATTTAAAAAGACAAAAAGTTATCAACCTGATGTAATTGCCCATCAGTTTTGAAAACTGACATTATAAATGCAAGACATACTGGAAATTTTCTTGACAATGAAGATATTCATTGTATGGAATGGCTAGCAGGATCTCTGAACCTAAATCATATAAATCAGGGGTGGCCAACTTTTGTGTATATAAGATCTACTTTTTGTCTTAAAAATGTGTCGCGATCAACTTGTTGTCGTAGGCATAGTCTAAGTGGCAAGGGGGAGGTGTGAAATACATACTATGTTTAGATAGGTAAGAAAAGCCACAATTTAATTTAAAACATGAAGAAAAGGTACTTACATTTTAAACAAAAGAAAAATTGAAAATCAACATTGTCACTTTTGGGGACCACCACTTCACCCTTCCTCTCTCTACCATGTCCCCACCTACTCTCTCTGTCCCTCTTCCCGCCTTTCTTTTTTTTCGATTTTACGACCCTTTGTCAACATTTCTTATTCCCCTTTTACAATTGTATGCAAATGGATTGCACATGGACTAACGAAACCGCATCCGAGGGTGGATACAGAGGTCCAATATCACTACAGTCGCATTTGTGCGTTATGTTCACATATTGCATTCGGTTACAAGTGTAATACATTAAGTCAAGATATCGCAAACGATTGACCAAAATTGGCTTCGCGATTGACTTGATGGCCTCCCCTATTATAAATCAAGCATAGAATGCTCTAAGGAGATGAGTTGCATCCTGTCAGCGTCCACCAAAAATACTCCAGAAGCTCCAAGATATTCTTGTTTATGAATGATTTTGCTTCCAACACTTATGTTTTTTGGACATTTGTACATAAAATCAGAAATACAGTAAACTCCTGATTATCTGGGCTAATGGTGGGGAGAGGTAGCATGGATAATCTAAACTATAATTATTTATTTCTAAAATACAACATGTAGATTCGATGTAGATTCACCTTTTTCAAAGTTTTCAATTAACGTTAGTTTTTGTTTTATAGTAAGTACGACTTTCTTTCAATTATTAGGCATTTTAAGGGTACTTATCCAAAAATTAGAAAAAACCCATCTTATTTTACATTAAAGGTATTTGTGGGAGAGTTATTTGAAAAAAATATTATGTATAATATGTATTATACATACGTACTATACATCTAATCAAATCTTAAATTGCAATACGTATTATAACATGCAACTAAACGAAACTTTGTATAAATGTACACACTATCATTTTCTCCTCCAAAAAGAAACGTCCAGCATGAAAGAAGCTGCCTAACTAAAACCAGTCCAGCTGACTTCAGATACCCCACCACCCGCTTCAAACATTTAAATACGAACACATGCACACTTATAGGATGCGTAAACATGAAAGCAAGCAACTATTTAAAAAATACACACACATATAATTATTTTTTTAAAATTAAATTCATGCATGGATAATCCGCAAACCGGATAATCTGCACACGGATAATCGGGAGTTTACTGTACTCTTCAAATTTAAAAATAATTAACAGCTAGATATACAATAAAATCCCATTAATACAAAGTTAAACTTCTCGAAGGATCTAAAAATTGGCACTTTGTATTAATTAACAAGGTTTGCATTAACTCTTTAAACTCTAAAAATTTCTTCCTCCTATGTACAGCACCTAGATACAAAATTGTTTTACCCCTGAAGCTAGGCTTTAATGAAGGGAAATGGTTCAGTCTTCTTCCTAGTAGTGAAAAATTCAAATTTGTTTTAGATGGGAGAATGGCAGACAGGAAGAATCATGACTGTCTTGCTGCTATTACTTGTGCCATTGTTTAAATTTAAAATTTAAATTTTAACATTAAAAAAATGTA